ATGAGCCCACAGTGACTAAACAAAAGAGACAGGTACAGCTGCACAACGCCTCCAGCAAAGACCAGCTAAAGAAAAAAAAGAGCTACTTCCTTGATAAAATTGAATTGCTTTGAACTTCGAAGTCAAGCAATTAAATCAGGACATTTAAATGATACGGCACAGGGGTGTACTCACTTTTGTTGTATGATATTTTGCCAGTATAGCACTGTTAAATATAGTTAGGTTACAGTGGTTTGCTGTGGCTGGAACTTAAATGTTTTTTCCTGGCTCAGGTTTGCGGAACTCAAGGAGAGATTAATGTAAATGCATCCTCTACTTTGCCTCTGTAGGCGTACGCACTCAAAGCCTTCCAGCTGCCCAGAGAAATCCTTTCAGATTTGCAACACTGATTCTGGCTCTCCTGTGTGTCCTGCTGTTACTGGGGATGATTTTCGTGTTCCAGCTCTGTGAGAACTTCACCTGTATTTTCATATCTTAAGTCATCTCCATCAGTTGATCTGTGCTAACATCACTGCTTTGGCTATTTTTGTTATTGTTGTTGTTGTTGCATCCATGAGATCTTTCAGCCGTTTTGAGAACAGACCAGGTCATCAAGGAAGCAGAGCGGAAGGCCAGCAGAGAATGCCACTCAGGAGACGAAGAAGGCCAGACGGAGGACGATGCTTCAGGTAAGAAATATTCTTACTAATCATTAAAGGATTTGAAATGTGTCACTAAAACACCTGATCTTCTGAAGGATGGAAGAAATATCAATGTCATTGTTACTACACATCAACTGAGGTGAAAACATGGGCAGAAAGCAAGAAGGACTGTGAGAGAAGAGGAGCGGATCTGGTGATAATAAACAACCAAGAGAAACAAGTACGTGTCCGATCAACTACACCATGAAGCAGCATTTTCTTATCTCTGTTTGGGAAGTTATTAAGTATTTATTAATAACAAAAAAGCCTGAAAAACAAGATGTTCATGTGCTTTGATGTGCACACCTGTACATGTGTGGGGACGAAGCTTGTGGGTTTTGCCAGGCGTTTGTTTTTGAACATGGTACAAAGTGGGAAGAGGATGTGAAACCTTTCAAACTATTTGGTTTTCCGCATCAGTTGTGATGCACATGTACCCCGTTATGTTAATGTGACAGCTTCTGAACGTGTTGGCTTCATGTCAATGCAAACAGTTTATGTTCGGGGTATTTTCAAATAAAAACACACAGAGTTAAGTGATTTTAGTTAAATATCCTGTTTTAAAGGATGAGTTGTGGTTAGTTTTTCCAACGGAACTAGAACTTGCACACAACTAATTCTCATTAAGTTGAAAATCTTTCTGTTTTAATATGTACTTGCTTTGATAAATGGGCTTTTTTTTTGTAAAGATAACGTGCCTTTTAAACCTGCTGGAAACGTTTTGGGGTTCAGAGGGTTAATTGTCAACATCATGCTTTACATTAACTGTAAATAAAAATTAATTAGGGAAGACTCAAAAACAATAATTTACCACTATAATAGGAAGATAAAGTAGACTAGGAAAATAATTCTGCACTCCTTTGACACATTATCAGACATTTGTCAGTGATCTGAACAGACGTGGAGATTCCTGGATCGGTCTGAAGTCTGAGGGGTTGAAAGACTGGAGCTTTCAGTGGAGCTGGGTGGATGGAGCGACACTAACATTTACGTGAGAAATTGTTACTGTTTTTTTTAATCAACATGTATCTGGGTGAATGTCTACCCATTTCCCCATTATTTCTGAACTGCCTAATACAATCTAAACCCCATGAATGGGATCTGAATGCCTTTACTGTCACCACACTTTGGAATTCTGGCTTAAATTTGAGAAGTTCAAGAAGTTGAAATTGCTTCAGGATAGTGAGCTTGAAGTTTACTGTTCTACCACATGAGGGCAACAACAGGCTCATATTTATTTTCAGATTAATTAAGCATCAAATCGAAAACAAGAAAATCACTGGCATGAAATAATCTACTGCTGAACTCTCCCTGTGTAGTTTTCAAACCAGCTGAAATACAGAAAGAAACCGTGTGTCAGCCTAGAATTTATTCTGATACGAGAGTTTTCGAGCACACAAGCCACGTGAAAAATCTTGTAGCTTAAATATGTTGTGTTCTCTGGCTTGTGTCTTTAAAAAATTGGTGCTTGTTCAACAGGAACTGGAAGAAAGGAGTGAGTTTAATTCCTGTGAATGACACCCAAGTCTACATTGATCTACAAGGAAAATGGAATCACGCCAGCAGCGGAGCCAAACACTGGATCTGTGAGAGGCTGATCAATTGAGAGTCTCAAACGCACTGTGTAACTGCCATCTGGTGAACTTCAGTATGAACCCTGAGCTGACTGGACCCCCCACCAACCTGCTGCCTTGTCTATATTGTTTCTGATCAGCTTTCTGCAGCTTTTGCCTTGAGTTTGACTGCAGTCTGAGCGCTACAACATTGTATGGGGGTTGCATCAATTGCATGTCTTTTCAGAGCCATGTGCTTGTTGTTTGAGCTAGCAGCCTCGCCACAGTTGCCAGATTCCGGCTGACTGTGTCGCTGCCCGATGTGACTTCTGTAAAATGAACTAGAACTGTAACACTGAGGATGTCGACAGAGAGGACAACTTACTATATTAATGATGTGTAGGGATGTCCGATATTGGCTTTTTTGCCAATATCCAATATGCCGATATGGTCCAACTCTCAATGTCCGATTCCGATATCAACCAATATCGATATATGTTTGTTACTGCAGCTACACCTGTAAATGCTGGCGAAATCCTGGCATTATTTTATCGGTTTTCATAATAGGCAAAAAAAAACGGTAACGATATGACATTTTTATGCCAATATACCTAAAGATGTGTATGTGTACTCAGCTCAGTGTCTACTTTTGTAAGGTACAAGGACCGATCAAAAAGTAACAAGACTGCACCTATAAAAATTCAAAACCTGATTTAAATTTGACTGTTGAAATAATGGTCTGGACTTACACAGCGCCTTGAACTCAAAGTGTTTCTCAATGTGTTTCTCAGTCATCCATTCATTCACACATTCGAACACCAGTGGTGACAGGGCTGCCTGCCAACTTCAGCTTCGGGCTCAGTGTCTTGCTCACTTCGACCGTGGAAGGGCCGGGAATCGAACCGACAACCTTGTGATTACAGGACAATCTGCTCTACCACCTAAGCCACAGCTCCCCATAGTATAAACAGTCTTGTTGTGCAGTGATACTCAGCTCCTGCAACACTTACAACACTCTCTGATGGTCCTGGTCTGTTAACATGTGTGAATCTCCTAAACAGTGTCAAAACTGTAACAATTAGACTTCAATTTTGGAGCAGAGAAAGAAGTGACAGGAACGGCACCACGCCACAGGTTGTTTGAATGTTCGCCCTCAGCAGAACTCTGTCTTGACAGTCCAATCCTGGGGTTATATAGTATAAAATATATAGTAATATAGCAGAAAACAATGAACATGTTCCTGAACTTGCACCCCTTGTTCAGTTTTGGAAACTTTGGTTTGAAAGTTGGACCTTCACAGAGAAATCGCAAACGTGCACCTACCAGTGGTCACAAATCATAGACACAGGTCCGATGTCGATAGTGTGACATCAGGAGACATCCCAACTCGAGCAGTCTTGTAACTTTCCGATCAGTCGTCGTACATTTATTTATACAAATTGCTACTGAAAAACTGTAACTCCCGGAATTCAGCTTTATCATATTATGAATTAGGGCGGGAGTTTTTGTTTTTTGTTCATCCAGTGTTGTTGCAGTTCACCCGTGAAGAGATAAATAGTGAACTTGGCCCGCTCACAGTGTGAGACCCCAGACTGCAAGAAGGCATTGGGTGGGACTGCAAACTGCACAGTGGATGCTTTCATCGAGCAGCAACTCAGATCTGGCTGTGACGAGGTGTGTTTCATAAATGTGAGGGATTGACCTGGCTTTCAGATGTCTCTCCATCGTTAACTTTAGACTGATTAAAGGAGGATTCAGTTTTATTTCAGCCTGCTGTATTTCCAGTAAAGTGGCTTTTGTGGCTCATGCTAACTTTGCAGTCCTCAGCCCTATTGTGCAGATTTGGGGAAATGGACTCCCTGACACTTAAATAACTTGTTTAAATAAATAGTTTTCATGTTTTATTAGAAGAAGATACATAAATTAGCCGCCTGAACAGACATGTTTTTAAAAAACTGTATTAGCTTTAAGTGACAATACGGAAAGATGAGCATCTTTTCCTCCAGTTGATGTTGGGCTGAAACACTGTCTTCAGGATGTTTATCAAAGCTGCATGTTCATTAGTCGCAGTTTCACAGCTGGGACTCTCCCATCAATGGACACATGAAGATTTTCCCATCATGTCATCAGATCTCACTCTCAGCAGCGACCGTTCTCCTATTCTGCCGGCAGCAGAATAGTGACACTGTCTTTCTGCCTCCATCCCCACAGTGCACATCAGCCTCACACATGTCAACAAACCGGCGTCGTGTAGATGAACATGGAGGTGATTAGGTCAGACAATCAGTATCCATGGATGGAGATCCCATAAACATTTAGCAAACATGGCAAATTTCTGTGTTTAACTTTGAATGGAGTTTCAGAGTGACAAAAAACATGTTCCATATGATTCATGTAGAAATCTGCTGCAGAAACACTGGATCTGATTCTTTTTATTTGTCTCTGTCCTAATGCTTATTTCTGTACTTCCTTTGAAAAACTAATAAAGGTGAATGAGAAATAAAAAAAACCCCAACTGCATATACCAAATTTGTAAAATCTGTAAGAGCACTAAAAGTTCCCTAACAGGCCAAAACACCATCATGTTATTGTGACCATGACTTTGTGTGTTTCTCAGAGCCTTAACAGCAGTGAACCAACAGTGTGCCCTGGTGGTAAGTGGAAAGGTCACAGCATGTCCAAAATGAGAATGGTTCATTTCTATGTGGTGCATGAGGGTGCTGGGTGGATTTCAAGGAACCCTGTCTTTCAGAATTTTAATATTTCCTTTGTAGAAGGAGCGTCACAAGGATGATTTTCATGGCGATCTGCCCCGTAGTAGTAGTTATTAAACCCTAACTTCAGAAATGGTGTGAGCTTGACAGGAAGCTTTTCTACATAACAACAGAAAAAGGT